GTCACCTTCATGAAATGTCATCAATAACCGCTTATAAAAAGTGCTTCAGCGTTTATTTTTTGCATGTCAGAGGTTAACAGCTGTGGTTTTATTTGAGTTTGGGCTTCATGAAAAAGTGCAGAAATGTGGAGGAGGTCATATTCTGACTACTTGAGAGGCCAAAAAAAGAAAGCCACAAGTTTGTGGCGAGCACATAATTGGCAAAGAAAAAAGGAAGAAGTTCTGAGAAGCTTTTCAGGCGTTTGTCAATGTGGTGTGCCTGCCTTTGGCCGAAACTTGCTGCAGCATTGCTTGGCTTATTGCCAAAATAAGGAAAAAGTGAGTACATGATAAATTGGCATAAAAAAGGAACAAACCATACATAAGAACCAGAAATGTACTAAAGACTAAAAAAGAAGAAGAAGGCATAAACTTCGACCGAAATTCTCATGGCGACATTGAAAATGATTATAAAATCGTTTATGGGTGTAGGTGCACGCGATGTCGTAGCCCCATAGCCACATTGCCTCGTAGCTCCATTGAGTTATTCATGTCATTTTAGAAGGCGTCAGTGTGATTGGATTTTCATGAATTTTCATTTGCTCGTTAGCATGTTTCAAATTAAACTGGTGACATGCTGCTTCTTGGCGCTTTCCTTCCTGTTGTGTATCAAAAGAGTTTCACTTTGCAACAAGTTGCCGTGTGGCAAAAGTTCGCTTCGATTCGATTCGTTTCATTTAATTTGGCGTTTCAGGCTTGTGTGTGAAGCAAAATATTTTTGATGACATTTTGCATGACTGATGACAAGATAATGACGTGAATTAATGGAATTAGTTGCTTCAAAACACATAACATTTATAACATTTTTCTATTGTATTGCCATTGTAATAAATTACATTACTCGTATTTATGTATGGCAGTCAAATGGAGAGAACTTGAAAATTAAATTTTCTAAATGATAACTTTTCTCCACCATATCTCTTTTCCAAACGCTAAAAGTTCATTATTATTACTTTTTTGTACTTCAGACTTACATGGAAAAATAAAACTGAAAACGAAAGCCGTAAGTTTGTTTTTATTAAAAAATTCCTTAGGTCATTGCTTTTGCTGGATATAAATAAAATAAAATTTATTACATTCAAAATAATTTGCAGTAGACAGACGTGCCCAACTTTAACTTGTACTAAGTGTTATAAATGAAGATAAAGAAAATGTAAATAACCGAATTACAATGTTTTGCCTTAACCATTTGTCATAAATTTGATGAAAATATTTTTATGAAAAAAAAACATATTTTTTTAAATGGTGTAATTTAATATCTTATGGGAATTGTTTAGAGAATGTATAAATAAAATATTCATTTATTTATCTAACAAGCGAACATACTATATGAAGAACAAATGTACAATTTTTTACTCAAAGAACAAATGTACAATTTATAATTTACATGCCAGAAAAAAAAGTTCTGTAATTAAAATTCTAGTTCCTGTTAATGAAGTCTTTGCAACCTCACCTCTCAGTATTTATAGGAACGGCTAAAAATTAATTTGCTTATCCAATCCAAGTTAGTGATGTGATTCTTCTAATAAATGTTATGCTCGGACTTTGAATCATTCTTGCGATTGAACTTCACATTTAATTTAATTTGCCATTATTTTTTATAGAACCCATGCATCCGTTTAAGCGAGGAAAATAAGAAAGTGTACTTCTTATATTGCACTGCTTTATTCTAAAATAAAATAAAAAAAATAAAAATATAGTACTATACAATATAAACATAAAAAATCGCGCTTAAAGTATGCTTGCGGTAACAAAGATCAATATTACTAGCAATCGATATTAAATGATCAGTTTAGTTTAGTGTTTCGTTTAGTGTTTAGTTTAGCGTTTAGTTTAGTGTTTAATTTAATGTTTGGTTTAGTGTTTAGTTTAGTGTTTAGTTTAGTGTTTAGTTTAGTATTTAGTTTAGTGTTCAGTTTAGTGTTAACTTTAGTGTTCACTTTAGTGTTTAAAACATTGTTTAGTTTAGTATTTAGTTTAGTGTTTCGTTTAGTGTTTAGTTAAGTGTTTCGTTAACTGTTTAGTTAGATGTGTAGTTAAGTGTTTAGTTTAGTGCTTAGTTTTGTATATAGTGTTTTTAGTTGTTATACTATCGTATGTTCTATTGTGTAGAACTACGGCACATAGTGTCCTACGTTAAAGTCCTACTAATGTTTGACCAAAATTAGATTTTAAAAATATCTTTTAAAAGTACTTGGTTGCTGCGTTTCAAACACTCCTAATAGTCTCAAAAGTATCTACCACAGAATCAACACAGAGGCTTTACCTACCTTATATCACTTGATAACTATGTATCTGTTTATTTCACGTTGTTATAGCCAACCAGTTTCCACTTACCTAATTTCTACCAAATAGCGATGCATGATTTGGATCACAAATGACTGGATTATTTTATTTTAAATATTCACTTATTTAATAACATCTTGTAAAATACTATTACCTACGCTGCGGACCCATAGGCTTTCTTTTTATAATAAATTATTTCTCTGGACACACTTGATGTCCACAGTTTTTTAAACTAATATAAGCATATATAAAAATGCACAATGTTCTAACAAAAAGATTTAATTTGTCCAAATGTTTAATATTGAAATTGATAGTTTGAAGAAAAAAAAAATTTTGTCGATTTTAAATAAGGTAAGGTTTATAATATTTTAACTAAAGATATCCAACACCTTCCACGTTTGGAAACATGATCCGCCTACCTTTTAATAAACGTTGTGCTTCATCTCACTCACAAAGTATCAAACTGATTATGTATTGGAATCTTAGGTATTACTTAAAAATTTAATGATTGTTCTAACAAAAAAAAATTTTTTAAATATATTAAATATTTTAAAGTGAAAGCAAAAAGTATTTTTCGCTTAAAGAAATGCACTTTAAAACTTTTACTTTTCATTGAATAAATGTAAATGTAAATCTCATACATTTTATTTCTCATCTGGGAATAATTTCAACAAATTTAATGTCCCGAGTCTAATCGTTGTTTTTTATTAAATTCTCACACCATTTCTTCAATAAATTAAATCAGGAATGTAAGACGCTGAAGTATCTATCTTGTATTTGTCAACATATTAAAATTTTCTCAAACTTTTCGAAATACGTTATGTGGTAAACTAACTATACTACAGCGAATCTATTTTAAAATTATAGTAAAATTAATAAAATCCATCTTTTTAAAGTATTTTCATATAGAGTATTTTGGCATGGGTTTATTATATGACTTAGCTAATGAATGGTCAAGACCGTCAATGAGTTTCGGCTAAGCTAGCTGCTCAATCCATGCGGCAGATTAATTTTCCTCATTATAATAAACACTTTTATTTTCAATATTATTTTTTCCTATAAATGGAAATTATCTTACACGTTTTATATACTATGCTAATGGTTCGTTTATTGTCCTTAATCCTTTGCTTTCAATTTTACCAATATTTGCTTTTATTCTTCCACAGATCCTTATAAAACGTTTTACAACTATTAAAAGTGCATCATTTGCATATTAAATATTTCGTTTAAAAAAAGCTATTAAATCGTATTGATTTAAAAAGAAAACACCTTACAAAAATAAACTATTACATTTTCATTTGAGTTTTATTTACTCCATAGATATGAGCTTTATTTTATTACCTTCAGATATCCACGTCTAGGTGGAAATGCTCATCAATTTATTTCATGTATTTAACGACTAAATATAAATGTCCTGATAAAAATAATACGAAAATATTTAAGTCGTAGTGATTTATTTCACATTTTTTAAATAAAATAACCTCGCATAAAAATCATGAACATAAAATATAAAATCGATAAGTATCTGAACTACTGCGAATGTAAAAGTATTTTTGCCTCGGAGTGGGTATGAAAATCTAAAAATAATTGCAAGGTAAAATGGAAATGGAAAACCGACTACGACGTATGTATATACTTAATGTTAAAAATTCATTTCACTTAAATATTTTTAATATAAAAATTAAATAATTATTTTAATAACTTTTACTGCATTTTTTTTTAAATATCATAATCAAATGAATTATTAATAATAATTAATTGCTAAACGAACGTACTAAGAACTGTATTATTAAATAAAATATATAGTAGAAATATTATTACAAAATTATATTGCAATACAAAATAACATCATTTTATAATATGTATCTAGTAGATAAAAACTTTATATCATTGAGCTAAACTATCAAAATGTTTTATAAACAACTTTTATATCAAATTTCGGTTTGTTTCTACATTAATTAATCCTCGAAGTAATGACAAAGGACAACCACAGATTTGTTGTTAAAACGGATGTGTTTTGTTAGGATTATCCCCAATGATTACTTGAAGCATCTCGTTTGGTCAGCTTATCTGACTTACAGTTGCCAAAAACATTCCTATGTCCGCAAATCTAGAGTAGAGAAAAATTAAGCTGCGCAGACTTCTATTTAGAGATATATGGTGGTCAAAAATCGTTCTGTATATAAATTAGGCTAAATTCCGAATAGTTTAAAGCAGATTCACTGTCTGATAGTATATATGCCTATTGAATATATTCTCCAATTCAAGAGAAGCTATATTTTCCCTAGTAGCAATCGATGTGCTATTTAGAGATGTGTGTCATCAAATGCTGTCGTGGATGTAAACTGAAGTGAACTCATGGACTTTAAAACAGTTTGACTGTCTAATAATATGTTTATATTTCTATTACGTATATGTAAGCAACTTTCAGAAGAGCTGTAGTGTAGCCAATATCGATCATCTCCACATGAAAAATACTAAAATGATCAGGAAGTCTATGGCTTATTATTATTCAATCTATATGGCTGAATTCCTATATGGTTGATTATTCACCCTATATGGTTGAATAATATTTCGCAATAATGATCACCTGCGCCTAGCATTTATGGCTGAATACTATATCCGAATGTCGATTCACCTACGGGTAAGGGGTTAGAATATTCCTGAGATAAGACATGCTTGTCGTAAGAGGTGAGTAAAATCCCATCACCATCCGACAGTGTTTGGAGTGTAAATGGTAGTATGCGAGTTTGCACTTACGGTACCCGACCAGAGGCGTCAATCTGGTATCACGGAGGTCAGTGCTCACAACTTCGGCTGTTCTAACCAAGGTTGGCAGCGTCGTGGTAGCTGTGGTTAAAGCCCAAACTTATGTGGGAACAATGATTGTATTTATTTACTTTCATTCGACGTAAAGTTGATTTTTCATTCAGCTACCCAAACTTACGCAGGAAAAATGATTATATTTATTTGCTTTAATATGACCTGGAGTTGCATTCAACCAGCTACTCTGATCCAAAGATCAGCAGAGGTTTGTGGCAGGCCTGGCTCCTTACCAAGAGGAAAATTATGCTAAACACATAACTTTAATTGATACCAGTGGAAATTGATAAGCGTGTTGAGAACACAATGGTGTTGAGCCATCATGGCAGGTTATCACATAAACCACTCTTGACTCCACAATAGCAAGCACCTCCGCCTGAAAATTATTATAAAAATCGAAAAGCTTATAATATATGACTGAATACTATTTTATTGAAATTTATTTAATACTTGCGGTTACATCGTAAGTACTTCTAATTATTCATATTGGTACCTAACTACATATGTAAACAAATCTTTGATTATCATTACTATTTCTATTAAATTTGGAAAAATTTTAGTTAATAAAAATTTCTTATCAAAAATAGCATTATAAATGAAAAGTCTTATCAAAAAATTTAAGTTTATTATTAATATTTTTATTAAATTAAAAAAAGAAGTACTTTAGTTAATGAAAATTCCTTATTAAATATTCAAATGTGAGCCAGATAAGCTCTTATAATTAAACAACGTCTTCTATATTTTCCGGTTTCGAGTTAAAAAATAATTACAATTCCTACCTTTGTCTTATTAGTTGATTAGAATTTCAGTAATTTTCTAATATGATAATCCTTGCAGTGTTTTGCTAAGATATAAAATATTTTACATTATTTGTTTTAATTTTCATATCCTGGGCTTCATGCATTCTTAATTGCATCCATTTTATACTAAATTGCACAGAATTTCATGCAGTGCAACAAGCGCCTAACTTGCATGCCTGCGATGATAATAACATTGGTGCTAATGACGCTAGTGATGATAATGACGTAGATATGAAGGTACAGGAATTTAGTAAATATGTGTATATACTATAGAACACAGAGAGAGAAAGAGAGAAGGTGGTATTCGCTTCTGCAAACAAAATTACAAGACCCTGGAGCTAGAAAACTTATGCTTATCCAAATAAAGTTTATCCTTTGCAACGAGTTGGTTGGTTGGTGAAATTTGTGCAACTCGTACGAGTAATGACACCAGGTGCCACATTAAACCACAACCTAAACATATTCGTCGAGCTAGTCTGTGTAATCACATAAATTGGTATCTGTGCATTTGGATATGTGGCAGTCAGTTGCATGCATGACTTCCACTGGCATTGGGGCAGATTTGAAAGGCAAATATTTGGAGCAACATTTTCGTTACAATTTTCGTAGTTAAATTAAGATTTATAGCACCGGTTTCGATATTCGAGCTACAAAGCGGGTTAATGATAGTTGGGTTGCTCATGGAACATTAAATCGATCATTTATCGAATTTTTGTAGGATTTGGCTCATATTACATGCATGTTGCTTGGAGTGATGAGTAAATGTGTGCAGTGGTGCTTTGTGAAAATTAAACGTCCTATTGAGTGTGTGGTTCCTTGTTAACTTGAGTCATTTAGTTCAAGTCGATTTTGAAATTTACTATCGGAATTTAAATTGCCTCGATTAGTCATGTAGGAGAGCAAATAATAAGAACTTTACATGTTTAATATGTTTGCTTTTTTAATAGCAAACAATTTATGATTAAACGTTTAGTTCAACAATTTAAAAAATTTAAAGAATTTTGATTTAAAATTTTTTATTTGTATTTGTTTTTGTTTGCTTTATATTTTCAAATGGTTAATGCTGTTTGCTCTATTAAAACCATATGTCCTAATCAAATGAAAAGTGCTGAGTTGACTAATTAAAATGTGCAACGTTAAGTCCTGGTTGGTGTTAAATAAGAAAATTCTTGCAAAGAAAATGCAACGAAAATCCTTTAGAGTTTATTTAAGCCAATTGGCTTTTGCTTTTCAAATAAATTGCAATAAATTTAAACTGAAAACTATGCAAGTCGCAAAAACTCTTGTGCAGAACTGAAAGGAAAATAAATCCATCACCGTGTCTTTCTACATTTAAAATGCACTCTCTTAACATTTGCAATTTTCCACGCGCTTAAGCAAAATCTCGTCCTTTTTTGCACTTTTCCCACTGCACTTAAAGCGTTCATCCTTTTTTATATTGAAAGCTTTACTTAACTGCAGCTGATTTGCTGCGGTTTGTCGTATACATTCCAGTGTCAGAAGAAAAAATATTTGAATCCTGCTGGGGCAAACTTAGTGAAGTAAAAAGTTTTCATCTTTTTTTCCAATTTCTCTATTCAAATAAAAAAATTATTTATATACGTATATTACCTGTTATATTTCACCTAAAGAAAATTTCTAATATTTTTTCTTTGCTTTGCAGATGGACAATCTGAGTTGGAGGTGCAATTAGTAGTACCAAGGTATGTGGAGCGAGGATCAAGTGCCACTTTGAAATGCAGACACAATGTGCGACCGGAAATACTTTTTAAGGTGAGTCCTTTATGTTTTATGTGGTTCTTGCACATTCATGTCCGCTCGGTTTCTTTTGTTCGGTTCCAAGCAAAAGGTCATTGAAATGACAGCAGAGCAAGGTTAGAGATTTTATGCGTGAAAAACTTCAACATCGTTTTTTATGCAAACGTATAGCAGAAAAAATATTAAATATTGTAAACAATTGCTCAGCAAAAAAATTTTTATACATTTTATGTATTTACTTGCTTTCTGCACTGCTGGAGTAACTATTTTTCCCTTTAAACCATTAATCTGTCAGTGTTGTTTTTTATGCTTCTCTAATGCATAAGTTTTTCAACTTTAAAGTTGTTGGCTTAAGTGTATTTATCTATTTCACAAAAGTCTTATACTTCATTTTTTAAAATAAAAAACGAAAAATACATTTTATGTGGTTCAGAGACAAAGCGAAAGTCGCATAAAGTTGGTAACCTTCGGTATTCCTTTCAAGAAGGAAAAATGTATTAGCATTGTCCAGCCTTTATTTTCTGCTTTGGCAGAGGAATTAATTCCATTATTAAAACTTATGCCACAATAAAAGCTAAGTTTGTTTTATGACCATTACACGCGCAACCACCTCCGTTGTCACGACGTTTCCTCTGCTATTTCTCTGGAAGGTCTTGCACCCAGAAAATTTCTGCAAAAGTTCTCTCCTGCGGTCGCGACAATTTGTCCTGCCTTTGTGTGTTATTGGCACGAACATGAGCAGAAAGTTACACGGCTAAAGTCAAACTTATTAGCGATAAGTTCAATGTCACTGCTTAGCAACTTATCAAAATATCACGTTTACATCGAACATCGAACATACCAGTTCGCATGCCAAAAAGCAGCTATGGAGGATTATTTCGTTGAAATGGAAGTGAAAAATAAAATTTGTTCCAAAACAAATTCGAAGAAAAAAGAAGAAAAGCAAAGCCCGACATTGCAGTTCAATTTCTTTTCATGAACTTTGTTTAATATTTTTCAGTTTGGCGAAAAAATGAGGGAAGGGCATTTGTAAAAAATAATATTTACTTAGGATTACCACACTTCCAATTATCTAGTACTGTTATTTGAAGAACTCCGCTGAATAACTGTTGATTGGACGAATTGTTGTGAAAAATAGCGAAAATGGTTTTAATTATATGAGTGTATGTACTTTACTCAAAAGATGTTGTACTAAAATGTATTCTAGTTCTAATATTCTGATTCCAAAATATATCTCGAAGGATTGGGTTGTCATACCAATCCATTAAATATGACTTTATTATATGACACTGAGTAAGTTCGATGATTAAAGATTTTACAGAACTTTGGTGTGTCATTTATGCAATAATTGTTTAAATGATCCAAAATTGTAATAGTTTTGGATCCTTTGATCAATTATTGCATAAACGGCAGATCTAAGATCTGTCATATTTTATATAGTAGCAATAGATTATGGGTTTGCCTTAGACCTTTATGCACTGTGACCAGCTTGATTTATTGTGCACCCCTTTGTATTAAGAAGTTTAGTATATTGAGGAAGTAAACCTTTTAAAAATAAAGCTTTTTGTGGAGAGATCTTTTGGAGATCTTCATTCTCTAGTTGGTATGCACTTAGAATGGTGTGTCGCCTGTGAACTAGTACATCAGAGTTGGTAAGCAGCTGTTCCATATACTCTTACCTATCACAGCAGAATCTCCTGCATACACCTATTTTGTGTTGGTGTTAATTGCAAGCGGAGTGGCCTATTATTGCACCGGAAAGTGTCTTTGGACACTTACTATGTTTTTATTCAGAATCTACTTCATATGTGTTTAAAAAGTGGTTGTGCTTCTATATAAATAATGATGATCAACACTGAGCTTTTTATTGCGTTTTTACCCAAAATATATATAGTCAAAGTTTTTTAGATCTGGAGTTAATTTTTTTCTGCTTACAAGTTGGTAATTTTAACAGTCCAAAAAAAATTTTGTTGAATTAGCTTTCCTTATAAAGATTATTATCATCTCTATTTCATATACTTAATTTTGATGAACACAGAATTATAGCACATTATTGAATGTTATTATAAATGGTAGGTAGGTAGGTTGGAGTGGAGGCTTTGTTTCCAAGAAGCCCAAATGATGAGCTCGAATGACAGCTTATTGTAGTACCATAGGAATAACATTGGCACGTACATAAATCAGTACACAGACTACTCCGAAAAAGGTAACGATTCCGCCATTAGGTGAAGAGAAACTAACCTGACAGTTCTATAAATTTGGCCAGGTCCCTAGTACTACAGGTTGACAGCTCAGTCAGATCAGTAAGAATGAGGGATCCGAAGATTTTTAATCTTGTTCTAGTTAAAGAAGAACACTGATATATAAGATGGAGCACGGTTTATTATAAATAGTTATTAAATAATGTATTTATCAAATAAAAAATATTTTTTAATAATCTTTACATTAGTGTCGACTTCAATGCTTATGTGTTTAAAATTTGTCGGCCTATAGGTCAGATTTCAATATTTTCTTGTGGTATTGTGATTTAATGCATTTTTTGGTTTCTTTTGCTTACTGAAGTTCTTCAATATTCATAGCTTCTATTCATAATTTTCATTTGTAACTTTCATGTTTATATTAATCAAGTGTACTCGTATGTGATCCTAACTAGGAAGATTGAGTTCAACATATATGTTATCATTATATTTACCAGTAATACCCTTAGCTATTCTCTTCAGTAGTAAAGTGTTCATTACTGCTTTAGTCATTTAAACAAGTGATCTTTTGTTATATGCTTAGTAGAAAAGTTATATTTTCCTATGAATCTTATAGATTAATTTTTAATTAAACTTGAGTATGATTATTTTTTCTTAGAAAATCATCTTAACAATTTATTTCTTAAAGATTTTACAATCATTTTAAGTGCGACTTAACTTTTATATTAGAATACATAAAGTCTATATTATTTTTTATTTAGACATTTTTTTTACATTTCTGCTAAAACCATGTTTCTGTTATAAATTAAATTATTTTATATCTGAAGCAATTTATTCCATGAACTTTCAAAGCAGAATCACTCATATTGAAATGCAGCAGCCGGAGATATTGCTACAATTATTACTTTTACTGTTATTAGCTTATTAACTTTCAAAAAGCAACAAACATGGAATATAAATCTTGTTTTTTATCACTTCTGTAAACTCGAATGTATATGTTTATGCTAATTTTTCATGGCTGAACCAGAGATCCACATATGCACATATGCTCAGTTCGCATAATTTTGGCAAAATAACAAAGTGGCGTATATTTTGCGCTGTTTTTTTTTTGTGAGAAATAAAAAATTTGTTATATTTCGTATTTTGCATATAAATGTAGGTTTTAGGAAAGTATTCCAAGGGATATCTTAATTTAAATTCAAATTAACTTCCACCGAAATACCGGTAAAGCCTCGCCAGTGTAGTGACCCACAAAGAAATGGAATTCAAATTTTCAATTTATTTGGATTTGGGTTTTTATTGTTATTTCAAGCAAATTCCAAATGTAAACCAATCCATGTGTATGCTCCCAACTTTCCAGTGGCTTTGTTTTCGAGGTTGCTTAAAATTCTATTGAATAAAATAAGTCGGATGAGCGATGAGGGATGAGGGTTGAGGGAAACTAAAACAGAGGAAAAATTACAAACAGTCGACATGTTTGCGTGGTATTAAAGTGTAAACAGAACTGTTAAAATTTCAGGTCTCCAGTGACAAATTTCATAAACCAACAAATATATTTAAAAACGTCAACAACAACAACAAACAAATAAAAATTGCATAAAATGTATAAAATTTGAAACTTGATTCCATTCCCAACGTGTTGGCTGAATTGATTTGAAATTGAAATTCTGCGGATTTTTACAAATGATTTAAGTTCTCACTAGGATTTTATGTCCTTCCTGTTTTGTTTTGCATATTTTTGACATCGAAGAGGTTTTATGCGACAACACATAAAAACTCAATATTAAAAATAAAAGAAACAAATTTGTTTATAAATGACGAAACTATAGAAATAGACAATATTTACCACAAATTGCATATTTAATTTATTTTCTGAATAAAAAAATAATTTCTGTTAAAAAAAACACACTTTTTTACTTATTGTTAAAATAAACTATTTTATTTAACTATTTATATTATTTTAGTGCATATTTTATAGGTGTAATGGAATTGGTATGGGGCAGTTTTATAAAATATATACATATGAGTCCAACTGACTGAGAATTATGTTAATAGTTATTTTAAATGAAAATAAAATTTTTTATTGTAAAGGACTTCTGATATAATTGAATGTAACAAAAAAAAAAACATAAATTAATGAAAATTTATTCTGAAACCCTCATAATAGGCCGCATCGTACCACTAAGTCAGCGGTTGATCCATTCTTATATTAATTTTTCAGAGAATTGTCAACACATAGCATTTAACTCTTTCTGTAAGTTTCATTTTATAATACCACTCGACGCGAATTGCTTCGAAAATGTATTATTGGTTTCGAGAACAGAAAGACTTTGCAAACGATTATCTTGGATGGTGACGGTATTGGATGGATAACAATTGTATTGTATTAACGATGGGCTTAGGGGTTAAAAATTACATTGAACCTTAAGTAAAGCCTTAAATGCTCTTTACATAAAGGTCTAAAAGCGGATTGTGATCCTTTGAAATTTGAATCCTTAGCATTGATAAACATCGTTTCATACATGATAGACAGTAACAAACATTACTTCGTCTTGCCCATAACTGCAACAGGAATCATTACACCAGAAACTCCATGTCATAATAAGAGTATTGTATCTACAACGGTGTCTTAGGGGTCAAAAATCACCTTGAACCTTTAGAAAAGCCTAAAATATTTATTAAATGTAGGTCTTGAAGCTGATCAAGATCATTTGAATTCTAAATTCTTACTATTGTCGTTAAGCATATGCTGAACAGTGCCAAAGCAGACGTGAGACAATTTCTTCGTCGTGGCATATGAATGGTCGTGTCTATGAC